AAAAGTGAATTGGAGGTTCATCCTTTGGAATGTGCAGATTCACAGAATCGATTGCTGGACGGGACAGGTCCATGATCATTCTGTGTCCACCGCTTTTCTTGACCCGCATGCTTAGCGCGTTGACTGAGAACTGCTGAAACGGCCGCTTGGTAAATGGCCTTTTCGTGTGTCCCAACTGCACTTCTCTGTCAACACGGGCCGAACGGGGCCTAGACTCCAACTCTGACTCTGACTCTGATTCTGACCACTCAAACTCTGACTCTGACTACTCAAAGTCTGACTCTGACCGCTCAAAGTCTGACTCTGACTCTAAGGTTTCTTAGGTTTCTTAATAGGTTTCTTAGGTTTCTTAGGTCTCCTTAGGTTTCTTAGGTTGCTTAGGTTTCTTAGGTTTCTTAGGTTTCTTAGGTTTCTTAGGATTCTTAGGTTTCTTAGTTTTCTTAGGTTTCTTAGGTTTCTTAGGTTTCTTAGGTTTCTTAGGTTTCTTAGGTTTCTTAGGTTTCTTAGGTTTCTTAGGTTTCTTAGGTTTCTCAAGTTATTCTTAGTTTATTCAGTCAGAGTCAGAGTCAGAGTTTGGACAGTCAGAGTCAGACTTTGAGTAGTCAGAGTCAGAGTTTGAGCGGTCAGAGTCTGAGTCAGAGTCAGAGCTTGAGCGCGGGCCACTGAACGGTTATATGATGAATGGCGATGGATGGACTATTAGGAGTGAAAGTAGAACGGTGAGGCCCAATGTATTTCAAGTCCGCGCCCGCGGTTAAACATTCGATTAAATATGCTACCAGCAAAACATCTGGATGAGCAGCCAGACGACGCGCAAACGCCTCTGCCTTAAGAGGCCTTGTCCTGCCTGGGGCGGCTACTGTCCCCTGAGGTTCCTTGACGGTGGACGTAGTCGCCGTGTGCCGTCGACCCACAAGAGCTGCAGACATGTGTCCGGTTGCCGCTGCAAGGAGCCGAGCACGCTCCGCGATTAAATTTTCTTCAGATATCTCCGTCTGCGGCGGAGATGTTCCGAAAAAGCTGGTCCTTTTCTGGGCAGTTCATGGCAATATGGCCCATTTCATGACATCGGTTGCACTTTGCGAATTTGTGCTTGTTAACGCTGGTGTTAGTAACGGTGGACGTTGTGATCCGGGGATTTGCGATTGACTCCTGGTAGGCTTCATCATATCTGCGAGTTGTGATCCGGGGATTTGCGATTGATTCCTGGTAGGCTTCATCATAGCTGCGCTCGGCGAAAGCATTCTACAGAGGAGTTTTTGTTTCGGACAAATTGATGTGCGAATACATGACTGAGCAGTTTTAAATTTATTTTGTTGCCATGAAGAGGTTACGTAACTTCACTTCTTACTGCATTTGCAAACATAGTGCTCCTTACTTAGTAACGTAATTAGTTTAGCTCTGAGATTCTGTCAGTTTTGTAGTACAGTATTAATAATATTTTGTTAGATAATAACTGTAATGCCCTCTGAAATAAATGATTAGCTTTTTGCATGCAAACAAACCATTCCTTTAATTTTCGTTGTAATATTCCGACGCGTATTTATTTGAAGTAACAATGACGAAACCAAATTCTCAGTGGACGAACCCCGGAGCTTGCACTGCCTGTCTCGCATCATAAAAAATCGTTCTGATTATTGCTGCACTGTGCGCTTTGATCTTGTTAAATTAATGATAGTTAACTGGAAATCGACTATATTAGCCATACTTATTTTCAAAATACTTCGAACGGGTACAGTACAGTAGTACATCGTCCTTTTCACTTTTGAATAATTGTTAACTTGATTTTGATGTTCGGAGTGGTAAGTAGGTGCAATGCGCTAGTGGGTGCGATTCGAAGCTGTTGAAGCTCTGAAAAGTTCTGAAAAAATAGTTTAGCAGTGGTGCCCGTCGCGTCATACTGTTTGGTTTTATATTTTTTAAGTTATTATCGATCGTGTGTGACCGGCAAAAATGTCCCCCCTGTCCCCCCGGACATTTTTGCCGTGTCCCCCCTGCAACCATCGCCAAAACGGTAACCCTTTGGCCAGAATGGTGACACGAGGGAGCTAGAACGAAAAGCTGATTTGCAGGTCAATCCGTGATCTTTGAAAAACTGCCACCAGCGTTACCACAGCGTTACCAGTCAAAATCAACTGCAAAAGTTGTATAATGTAGGGACTGACTGCGGCAATAAAATTTATCGTGTGCGGCATGGGGGAAATTATTGCCGGAATAAATTTAGTGGTGTCTGGCAAGGGGGACATTATTGCCGGAATGAATTTAGTGGTGTCTGGCATGGGGGACATTATTGCCGGAATGAATAAAGTGGTGTCCGGCATGGGGGACATTATTGCCGGAATGAATTTAGTGGTGTCTGGCATGGGGAACATTATTGCCGGAATGAATAAAGTGGTGTCTGGCATGGGGGACATTATTGCCGGAATGAATTTAGTGGTGTCCGGCATGGGGGGACATTATTGCCGGAATGAATAAAGTGGTGTCCGGCAGGGGGGATATTATTGCCAGAATGGATTTAGTGGTGTCCGGCATTGGGGGACATTATTGCCAGAATGAATTTAGTGGTGTCCGGCATAAGGGAACATTATTGCCAGAATGAATTTAGTGGCGTCCGGCATGGGGGGACATTATTGCCGGAACGTTACTGCCTTCTCACTGTTTTATTATAGAAGTACAGAAAGAAAATCGTGAAATTTTTACAACTTTTGCTGCATGACTGTGGGCCGGCTGCGGGTTTAATGTCTTCAAATTTTTTGTAAATCTGAAAAGTTGACAGCAGGGGTGAAGTGTATTTAATGTTACATTGGTCAACACGCAACCATAAAATTATTTTAATCTGGGAAAGTCTGTAATAATTAAGGTGTCCGCGGCCGTATGTTTCGCTTCATAATAACTGTAGCTTTACTTTTAAGTAAATTTACTTATAAGTAACTTCGTTTGCTATAGGCATGCGAACTTAATACAGCGCTTTCTTACAACCATAGCAGCTCTTTAACGGTTTCTGTTGTTCTTCTTGCCTCGTATATGGATGAAACTTGATTGCGGATCGAATCCAGCATCGTAAAAACTGGATGCTTTGTTTAGTCAGTAAGGAATCCCGCCGCATTTAACTGGATGAAGAATTGGTGTCTTCGGGTGTATTAAATACGGTCAATAACATAATATTAGTCAACATTCATGGAAATGATAGTGGTACTCGCACTGTTGCTGCTGCTGGCAGCGAGAACGGTTGCTGATTCTGGTACTGGTTAAATAAGTGGAGCCATCTATGGTACTGGTAGTGGTTTCAGCTATTGTACTGACATGCCAATTGTGTTATCGATACTACTGAACATTGCAACTACTCGCACATTGGCAACTTGGTACTAACCCTTGTTTAGAAATCTACATTACGTTCGATTACCGCAGTTTTTTTAATTCCAAAGTATCTTTTCCATTGTACTGGTACAAAGGTCTGGTAAACCGGTAAAGTTTAATTTTACTATTAGACAATTTGGGCAAAACTGCGATCGTAGCAGTACCAGTGACAGTAGCGCTATTTTCCTATAGTGCATCTATGGCGAAATAGCCGCTACTGTCATTGGTATTGCTACTGCCGCAACTTGCCCAACTTCTCTATTGTTAATAATTAATGCTTCATAGATAGACGATTTTGTCCGTTATAATCGTCTGTATATGAGAGTGTTGCCAACAAAACATTCGGACGTTATAGATTGTACCAATATCATAAATGAACGCAGAAATTAATACCGCTACCAGTAGTATTACAAGGGACTAAATAATTTAATAAGCAAACAGCCGTTGCTTATCTTGAAAACCTCGTCTCAGTACTCAGTGGTACTAAGTTTAACGCTGTACAGCGTTGAGCTGGGGGCATTTCAGGAGCCAGAAAACATTATCACCTCTGCATCTCGGAACGTTTCCACGAAGAAGCAGCAAAGAAAAAGACTTTGACAAGGCAAACATTTTTGAAAAAAAAAACTTTGACACACCCCATGCCGGACACCACTAAATTCATTCCGGCAATAATGTCCCCCATGCCGGACACCACTAAATTCATTCCGGCAATAATGTCCCACATGCCGGACACCACTAAATTCATTCCGGCAATAATGTCTCTCATGCCAGACACCACTAAATTCATTCCGGCAAAAATGTCCCCATGCCAGACACCACTAAATTCATTCCGGCAATAATGTCCCCCATGCCAGACACCACTAAATTCATTTCGGCAATAATGTCCCCCATGCCGGACACCACTTTATTTATTCCGGCAATAATGTCCCCCATGCCGGACACCACTTTATTCATTCCGGCAATAATGTCCCCCATGCCGGACACCACTTTATTCCTTCCGGCAATAATGTCCCCCATGCCAGACACCACTAATTTCATTCCGGCAATAATGTCCCTCATGCCAGACACCACTAAATTCATTCCGGCAATAATGTCCCCCATGCCAGACACCACTAAATTCATTCCGGCAATAATGTCCCCCCATGCCGGACACCACTAATTTCATTCCGGCAATAATGTCTCCCATGCCGGGCACCACTTTATTCATTCCGGCAATAATGTCCCCCTTGCCAGACACCACTAAATTCATTCCGGCAATAATGTCCCCCCATGCCGGACACCACTTTATTCATTCCGGCAATAATGTCCCCCATGCCGCGCGCGACAAATTTTATTGCCGCAGTCTGTCCCTACATTATACAACTTTCGCAGTTGTTTTTGACTGGTAACGCTGTGGTAACGCTGGTGGCAGTTTTTCAAAGGTCACGGATTGACCTGCAAATCAGCTTTTCGTTCTAGGTCCCTCGTGTCACCATTCTGGCCAAAGGGTTACCGTTTTGGCAATGGTGGCAGGGGGGACACGGCAAAAATGTCCGGGGGGACAGGGGGGACATTTTTGCCGGTCACAATTGTGCCTGTTTTTATTAATGATTCTTGGGTTGTCTAGTTAAAGCGATTAAATGCTACGAATGCGATTACGCCAACGGAGACGTTCCTCCTGGCTGGCAAGAGATCACGACGGATTGTCTGAACAGCAATAGCAAGGAATGTGAAGCAGGCATAACGCACTGTGAAAAAACAACGGTATTCTTTACTAACCGTAAGTTGGATTCTGCAGTATCTTCGATGCGATTCAACTTCAACAAAATCTAAAAGTAACACAACAGATTTCGGACGAGGTGCGCAGTTAGCGTTTCCTCGTACTGAAAAACAACCACATCAGTATTTATTAACCATACTTGATGTTATAGCGGACAAGTATCAGATTGATCAACAGGCATGTGGGGAGCAGCAATATAACAATTGCCACAAAGCAATATAACAATTGCCTATTTTAAGACTGGGGTAAAAATAGCCACTTCGATAACAATTATCACAGGTGGTGCGAACCCTGGGAAGTTCGAAACGGTGGTGTTGGTACAAAATGCCGCTGTTCCAAGGATCTTTGCAATGTCTTTCCAAAAAGTACGTAGTTTCCCCCCTAATCGGGCTAGGGGTCTGACCGGCCACGGTACACACTGACAACGATCTAATTGTTGCAGACGCATCAACCGTTAGCAGTTCCCAAACCAATAATCAAACGAATAACCAAACCCAAGGCAATAACACAACCAATAACCCGCTCCCTTGCGCAGCGGCCAACAACTCCGGTCAGTATGACGAATTTAGTTTTTGAAATCTGCATGGCAGAATCCCGGGTGAGGATTGCCATCTTGTTGGTGAGGATTGCCATCCAGGCCATGAACCACTAGATTTCCAAGCCTCGCCGCTAGCTTCGACCGTAAACACGTTTAACACTATGGCGTAAACAGCCATGCGGCGCGTCGCGAAGGTAGAATGAAATCCTATCACGCCGCCATGAAATCACAACACAGTTGTTGGTGTTCCGTTATACAATATCTACATGATTCCGGGCTTTGCGAATAATCAACTATGCCTTCCACCCCGTTTGCCACTTTCCGATTCTGGTAAATCTTTGTTGGCAGGGTATAGAAGGTGGCAGTGGTTATAAAAGGGAGTATTTCGCCGCAGTGCGAATAAATGAATTATTTGCCGCAATCTAAATTAGCTTGTTGGCTTTTGCACACTGCGAGTGTTCAGCTTGTCAGCTATTTTGCCGCCGTCTGATAGCTGGACTACTCTTTTGGCTATTTGCATGAAACCAGAACCCACATACCTAATTTCGAAAAATTTCCAAAATAAAACCGTGGGGAAAAAGGAAAGCAAGGACATCGTAATCGCCTTATTGTAAAGTTTTCACCAAGTCGCAGCCGTAAATAACTACGAATACTTGTATAGTAAGTACTGTACACAATAACGCGTAACACTGTATTCAAGGAACTTGTCAAAAATGACAAAACGATTCGCACTAAACACACTTAGTGCATGACGATTTTAACCGAAAGGAAGGAGAAACGACGCGCCCAGAGCCAAATTCGGGAAGAAGAATAAAGGCCAACGCTATACGCAGGAGTTTTTCGTTTTCAAGAAAACTCTGTACACCAAAATCTGTACTAGAAAATGTCGTAGAAATTTAGTTTGCAGTGCACTTACGAGTTGTAGTACAATAATTCATGTGTGCGTTGCGTTCTGGTTCGCATACACATTACTTGGATAAGTACGTGTACAGGTATTTTTTGTAGGTACTGCACACCGCACGTGGGTCAGTACAGCACCTATTAAAATCGCTCTTGTGTTAAAAGCAATCCCGTGTGCCGTTATAAGACGGGAACCTGGCAAGGTTCACGTCGTAGAATCGGAGTTGACGTAACTCCGTCTACCAAGAAAATCTGGCAATGCTGTAAGCGCCTACGCTATGGAAATCGAAAATATGGCGTGTTTGCTAGAGATTTATGACAACACTAATTTCAATAGAAATTCCACGTGGCCAACTTCGCACTGCTGACCACAGCAAGCGCACGTAACCGCTGCACTGTGCGGGTGCACACAGAACCCCAAGGCACTGCCACGCATAAGGCGGCGCGCAATAAAACACAACAGACTAGCGAGGGTGTACCCATAGTACGCCTGCGCTCATATGCCTCTGGGAGGGATGCCGAGCTCCGTTCGAGGCTAGTCTCCAATTCCAATTCCTTGGGAATCCATCACGGCTGGTTTGTGTGATTAAAAAAACATCGAGATTATTCTCCTTTTAACATCACAAATTCCATCTCACATGTGAATAAAGAGATCTCGTAACAAAAGTAAACAGTAAAAAAATATCAACAGAATTCTTAATCAAGGAAACTAAGATCCTCCGACTCGTAAAGGTCACTGGGTCCTGTCAACCGTAATCCGCTTTGGCCCATTCTGCTATGTGAGCAATCTTTCATCACAATGAGATATGCTTTTAGGAACAAGATGCGTATCATTGCACGACTTTAGGAATACTGCTTCTTCATCTTTGGATTCTTTGCGTATCAACGTACGTCTTTCGTAACACTGAGATCCTTCGAAGGTCATGGAGGGACGGCCGAAGACAAGCTTGATTGCTTCCTACCTGGTAAGGTCATTTTCTTGTTCCGATGACTCCCTTGAGCAGTGAAGTTCTCAAAGGTCATCCTTTCTCTTCTGATGTGCGACCCATTTGGGCAGTGACGGTTTCAAAAGGTCATCCATTTTCCATACTGACTTCAGCATTAAAGGGCATGGAGAAACTTAGCCGATGTTCTGGCTTTTAAGCAATTCTGCTTGTCTCCCTTGAAAAGGTCATCCATCATTCTTCATTTTCTTCATTTTTTCTGTCGCATATCCTTTCTTTTTCTTTAGTGGAGAAGAGGGCCAATGTGACGCCGTAACCTTCTTCCAATGACTTGCACTTTTTCTTCTTCTTTCCTTACCAGTTTAGGGGGCCGGTTAACTGCCGTAACTCCTCTCTTAAGGCAGACATATTTTGTCGCTGTAACCTCGTTATGTGACAAGTTTCTTCCTTTCTGACTCTTTCTCTTTTTCTCCCTTGTCCCTTCTGACATTCCGCTGGAGTGTGCCGACTCAGCAGGCCGCAACTACACCCCGAAAGTGACGTTATGTTGAAATGAGGAAGGCCAGTTGTCACCGAACTTTTTCTCTTTGAGGGCCGGTTGACCACCGTAGCTCGACAGATGTAAGACAGCATTGATCCCCTTGTAACAAAACTCTGCAAACAACAAGACAGGAACGATATGACAGTTTAAAAAGTTGCGTCCTTCCGCCCTGATACTGTACCTTCATAACCGTTCACTGTTCTGCCGACTGACGGCCGTAACTAGCACATCAGCGATGCTCTTAAGGTCATCACTGGTCATTTGAACCATTGTCGCGGTTCCAATCGAAACGTCGTCTCTCTTTTTCGTTACGATCTGACGTCCGAACTCGAGGTTCCTTTTCTCTCTCTTGCAACACGTCTCCTTCGCTCCGGTTGAAGATTTACTGTTTCGATTTCGACTGCGCCGACGCTGAATACGTATTAAGTGTTCCCGGGCGTCAATCGTTTGCGCTTTCAGTCTTTCGTCGTGCGGATTTTCGCATATCCTTTGACATATGTCGACGTAATCCATATGCAGCTGTTGATTTCGCCGTCCGCGCTTTCCCATGTCATTGTTCTGAGGTCGTCTCTCAAGTTCTGGACGGTGACTGCTCTTGTTAACGCTGATCTCTTGGATGAAATAGACAAGGTCAGACGGCTGGATGAACGTCGTCCCCATCGTGCGCCTTATCCGTTCCGCGCATTGATGAGCGTACATTTGTGACTGGCGTCGAAGATATTCATCATTCATTGCTCTCTGGCAATCTTTCAGTTGCTTCCTCACCGTTTCAGAAGAGTTAAAGTTCGCGATTGGCATTCCCATTTTTATGACCTGTGCTGTTAGTGCCGGCGGAATTTCCGTTCTTGTTTGAGCGCTCTTTCGCAGCTGATGATGCGTCTCATGATGACCAGCCTTGCCGCTAAGATCTTCTGGATCGTAACTCGATGGTCTGGCGGTGAGTCTGGTTGAACTGAGAATCCTAACGCAGCTCTTCCTGCGAGGAGTCGTAACGCCGGATTCACATGGCGTAACATGAATTGCGCTACACGGAGTCGTCTCTCCTTGATGTCCCTGTAGCAGAACTGCGTCATCCCTGTTGGGTCTGGCGCATCCAGGGCAGTTTCCAAGAGACTAAGATCAATCAAATTGACGAGTCCGCATTCTCGCGTTGGGAAGTAATTCAAGTTTGAAGATTGTTGCGTGATGATCAAGTCTTCCCGTTGACCGTACTCATATTCCTTCGCGTATCCGCAGTCTACCAACACCTGTTCTAGGTTGAAAAGAAGCCAGTGCACTTTATCAGTTCCTTCTTTATTCTCTGGCTCAATGCCCACTGAACGGCAGATCTCATTGGTTTGTTCGGTGAGGTCATTCATTTCAAAAATCAGCTCGATGGTGATGTTCGACTGGCTCTGGTGAGTCCAATTCCGGGCCCGACCTTTCTCGACTTCTGATTCTGGCGGTGCATTACTTGCCGTTCTGCGCTCGTCCACTGACGGTCAAAATCGAAAATGATATTTCGTCTTGATGGTGGCATATCTTCGTCTACGTAAACTTCAGTTGCGTTTGAGGATGACGGACTGCATTCCATCTGCTCATTTGGCTGCTTCGCTGATGGTTTCTCGGCTGATTCGAACGTCGAACAGACAGCGTGAACCGTCGACTTCATTGTTCGCGGACTCTTCGGTGTGCGGTGACCTTGCGAACTGGATGACCTTTTACTGCTATTGCTTTTGCCATCTCCGAATTCCCATTCGCTGGAATGCAGTGTATCTCGCAACTATTCATCGTCATACGGGCCTTTTGATGAAGTTGATTTGCCCGATCCTTCGCTTCGCCCTTCTCTACTCGGATTTGTTTCACTGCTTTGCGCTTCCTTTGTAGCCTGCTCCTGTTGTCGATTACAGGTTTCATTGATCTTACTATATTCTTTCGCCAATCTCTTATCTTCTTCTTCTTCTTGGCGGCGCTTCTCTCTTTGCTCTCGTTCTCGTCGGATGCGCTCTTCGTCCCTTCTCTTCTGCTCTGATGTACGCGTATCTTTTGCGTATCCGCTGTATCTGTCGTAACAGTTAAAGTCCCGTGACCTTTTTCGTGACTTTCTTGCGAGCGGTCTGACGACCTTTCATAGCCGTGATATCTGTCATCCTTAGGAGGCGATTGTGAACGTTTGAACTCATCCTTCTTAAAATTCCGAAGTGCTTGAATAAGGTCCTTCTCTTGCTTTCGGAAATTTCGCATCTTATCAATGCGTTCTTCGATCGCGATTTTGATGACCTGAAACGGTCTAACTCCTTTCGACAGGTTGACCTTTTCCGCAAAGAATATGGCATATTCGTCTTTCGTGACTGCGAGCGGATCTTGCAGAATGACATCGATTTGCTGTATCAGCGATTGTCTGATCACAGCCGCTTCTTTTTCATCAGGTCTTTCAGTATTGCCAACAAAACCGGTACTCCAAGTCCACTATGACCTTTAGGTGCATCTTTCCGGGGTTCAAGGATGATATCCCAACCCGGTCTGCGTCCGACCAACATTCGGTATTTGTCTTCAAGGATCATCCGATCTTCCGGTGACAGTTTCGTCCATGTTTATCCCAGGACC